ACTTAGACACGCAAGCTCGGCCCCTTAAAGCCTTAAAAATGCTCATACCAGAAGCTCCAATCCGAAAGCCCTAGACCAACACACCTCCGCCTCTAATGCCTCCACCCTCACACAGCCTTTCAACAGCAACCCTGACCCTCAAACTGAAACAGGTGCCCGAATGCAAGAGAAACGCGGTGACCGATGGCCTACGGTCAAGTCCACCCGTGGAGACTGCGACAGCCCCCACCTGCAGCAGTTCGCACTGCATGGTGCCTATGACGGCTGCCAGACAGACCCAACCTTCGACAAAGAGACACACGTGTTTTATAATAGGCGAATGTGTGCTATGCAAGCCTGTATAAGTCTGCACGGAGCATATCTGGCTCTGATCTCTCCAGGTCCGAAACACACCATACACAAAAAGCCCTATAAACCCTATAGATCCTTTTAAGTTTTAAGGAACCCCTATAGATCCCTTCATGGAACCGTATAAACATACCTAGCCTGGATATGGCGGACATTCCGAGGCCCGAGGCGAGCCTGCAAAGGAGCTGCGCCATCCGCACCAGGGAGTCGGCACCGGTGGAGGAGTGCTGGACGACGAGCCTTCGCGAGTCAAAACAGGACGGCCGCTGGGTGCCTGCTACTGTAGCTGCTCGGTAAAGCTTGTTTTTTGTTTCCATTCCGTCTCTCGGCGGTGTTCTGTCAGGCTTGAGGACATGCTCGGCGACTCCCGCTCTCGCCATCTCTCGCCAGCAACTTCGGAAATGCACATGGCCATTTGCACCCCTGTCTGCCTCTCTGTCTGTCTTGCTTGTCTTTGTGCGCGCGTGCGGGTGTGTGGCTATGTGTCTGTGGGTCTGTTGGTGTGTGAGTGTAGGAAGGTGCGCGTGGGCGAGTCGATGAGAAACGACAGGACTACTGCACCATGCAAGAGGGTGCGGCAACAAGATGCACGACAACACTAACACTGCCACTCGGGGACTCGTATCTTGCGGTATCAGGGCGGACAGTTTCAACCAGATGAAAACGGAAACAAACAGCTGTATAGTTGGTGTGGATATAATCTGACATGACATAATTTCAATATATAAGATGATCAGACATAGATACTTAAACAAATTTATGTACAAATATGATATCATATATGATATAGTGATCCCGTGATGCTCGTCAGATTCTATGGCTGTTGGTCGAGGAACCCACAGGTGGCATCTTCTGCGACTGACTCCGCACCAAAGAAATTCCTGGGCCAGCGACGACATGGAGGGAGGGAGTAGTGGGTCCAAAAGTTTCGTAACCTGCATGACGATCTAGTGTCGTCATTTTGGCCGCTCAGATGCAAAATCGGTCGTTTGAGATGATCGAAACTTTGGAGGGAATGTAGACGTGTGCGGGGTTGCAACTTAGTCGCGATGCCGGTGCGTCGGTGAAGGCCCTCACAATCCCTCCCCACTGAAGCATGTAAGATCGACACCTTCCGAGATTGGTTGGGGAACCAGAAGTTCACTCAGCCAGAATAGAACTCTCCGTTCCTCTGTTTACATACACGCACTCCGACGAGTGCGGGACGGAAAAGACCTGTAAGTTGCCAAACTTGCGAGTTTTATGGAGTGATGACGAAATGAGTGCCATTAGCAAACCCCAGACTACGGTTCGTTCAAACCCTAAATTCCGCCGTCATCACCATCACCATGGTCACCATCATTATCAGCATCACCATCACAATCACTGTTCTCATCACCATCAACTTGGCAACTACTCGTGAAACGCCCGTGAGAAACCTGCGAAAGACTTGCCAGAAATCGGCAGCAAATCTAACCACTCCTTAGAAACCTGCGCGGAACTTGCTGCGGGAGAACAACCAATACCTTGATACTCAAATGCCAGGTGACAAATGTTTTAGAACCTCTTTGTGGAGCGCTTCCAGCTGACCTGCATCAAAAAAGGGACCGGCATTCCGAATGTGAAAGACCGTCCGCTGCAAGATCGAACATGTGTTGTCCTCGACCTGTAGCTGTACGACGGAACTACGTCGGAAAAGTGGTCTGCAGGTGGGTTTCGCGACAACACAGAGCAAAGAGGGCTTCCAGTAAGCCGCAGGTACATGTTTGCCAGGCGAGCTGGGTTTAAGTACCGCCGCCTCAGTGGTCGTCACTCCCACATGACAACAGCTCGATACCAAGCCCTATTCACCCTACGCCCTCGCAAGCAAAATGCTGCGTCAACGCCGCGTACAGCTTCAACTGTCTTTTGATCAGCAAGCCTTGTAGAACGGAGTCGTCTTTTTGTTCTTACAAACTCAAGCCAACCCCTAAGCTCGCAGACCTCAAAGCCCTCACGTGCAGGAAATTCAACTTGGACCTCGGGTTAGGGCCGTTTGGCAGAAATCACGTTCGGATTAGTGGGTGCTTTATAGACACAAATGATGACTAAGAGAACTACAGTATTGCATCATGATTACTGAAGGAAGCGGTGGCTTTACAGGCTAGGACAGGTCAAAGTTGAACTAGCAGAGACGGCTTAGCTTTCATCTTTCGAGAAAGCATTATCGCAAGAGGAAAATACGAACTCCAGGCCACAAGCTCGGCTTTCTTCCGTGATGTGGTGATCTGCCATGTATCAAGACAAGTCCAGACTTGCCTCCGCTGCAATGATAATAATCTTGGTAAGTCTTGCTCTCCCGCCCGGCTTGGCTTCAAGATCTCAAGGTTGTTACCACATTTCCCCGACGATCCCGCAGGTGCCTGCGCTGATCTCCTCGTGACTGCCGGGTTCCAAGCCCCTCGGCCAACGGAAACCATTTGAGGCCGGTTCATGGGTTTTAGCTCAGTGGCGCTACATACATGCTCAGGCACAGGTATCGAAAGGGGACTGCATGATTTCGTCAAGGCTTGCAGGCTGCTTGCAGGGTGCAATCAAATTGCACCAGGTGCTGTGGCATGTCGAAACAGCTCAGCCCGCCGTGCTTGTGAAGGACAGCTCCGGAATCTAAAAGAACAGCGTGGTCCCACAACGCACCCTTAGGCACAATGCTGCACGCAAAGTCTGTCTAGAGAAGGACATTAATCGTAAGAAACATATGCAGCGGCGGAACACAGATAAGCTCCACTCCAGAAGACTACACTTGGTCGAATGCCAAGCCCAAGACCCGAGGCATTCTCCTACTAAGTCTTCAGCCCGCACCGACTTTCTCAGGCCCACAGCTCTAAATCAGGCCATGCAACCAGGCCAACACGCAGGAGGCGTTCAAGGTCTGGTTGTCAAGGTTCTCCGACGGCCTGGACATGCTGATGGCCAATGATCGAGTTTGGCACGAACTCAGGGATTTTCGGAGGCTCGGAGGTATGCAGCTTTGTAGACTCAAGGGTGAAGTGCAGGCTGAACTCGGTCGCCTGACAGTCTCTCTAGTTGTGAGAACCTGGGCCTGGCAGTCTCTAGCTGTGAGAATCTGGGACTCGTGTCTCACAGCTTAAAGATGAACGCCCACGCAAGCATTAAAATATGAGCCTCTGTGCTTGCTCTGACAAGCCCAAAGCAAACAAAAAACCTTCCGCATGTCACATACCATCATGCCTGCGTTGCGGTTTGGCTCACTTAGTCACTTCACTATACATAACATTACCCCGTAAATCTCTCCAGCCGGGAAGCCCAAACAGTGCTTCTACCCTCAGGAAAGCCGCTTCAAGATTAAACCGTGGAACCTTTTGGGGGGTCTGTGCCACTTCAACACATACTCCAAAATCTTCGGACCGACTTGATCTTGAGTCCTGACCGAAAGCGCCATGAAAAACAAGGCGGGACGGCTTGCAGGAACACGGCGCCACGGAATAGCCACCCTGCACCGCCCGTGGCTGGTGAGATCGTGTGGGTGGTTGGCAGGGCTAACATTCAGGCACACCGACGTATATGTGTTTGAGAGACTCTGCGGCATGCAAGGACATGCACCAAACACAACGGGACATTGCGGCAGGAACTCGCAGCAATGCCTGGAAATCCTGGACAATCCCGACGAGCTTGATTCAGTGAAACTTGAAAAGTGTCTCACGTCGGCAAACAGTGCCTCGAACGTCCCGATTCGAGTTCATATATTGGGACACACTTGCGTGCCTGGAAGGCACGCGAATCGCAGCGCCACCCATCCCGGCACAACGGCGGAGCGCCATTTCCCATGGCGAGGGGGGCTTTCTGGCAAGGTGGGCGGTGTTGAATTGAGCATGGTGATGTGGAGGGATTATTAGATCCTCCACTGGAGCTTGCATTAAGAAGATTTGGAAAAAAGTGGTGCTTGCTTCTGAGATTTCCTTGTCGTGTTCCTAGAATGTGTTTGGTTCCTGTGACTGATATGTTTGTCCTCAAAAGCCGATAGGGACTGCAAATTCCGAACCAGGGGACTGGGTTGGACCTCCTACATGATTTCTGTATTTATCTCTTTGTCTGTCTCTCTCGCTCTACAATCTATATATATATATATATATATATATATATACATACACATATAATATGTAATTATCCATACACACTCTAGATTCTCTAGATGTGTGTATATGTGAGTATGATATGTATGTGTGTAAGCTCCAGATGGATGAATATGATCCCCCTAAACATCCCTAAGCCCCAGCGGCCCAACGAAGGGTCAGACAACAAAGGCGAGCGGGGGGTGATGTCCCCTTGGGCCCAAACGTGCAGCCAAGCATGCGTGTAGGAAACAGCTCAACACCACGCTGTGTGCAGGTGTAGCTCTATGAAACGCATGTCCATGTGCAAACTCTGGACGTGCAACATGTCATTGCTCTGGAAGGCTCATTTTGAGTGACAGGTTTCTACGGCCAGACCGGGGAAGCATCAGTGCCAACTACAAACTCGCTTGGGACGAGACTGGCTGGAGGAAGGGAGTTGATGGAACGACCCGATTCTACTCCTCTTAACTCTAAGACTCTAAGTGCCCTAACCCCAAACCGACAAAGAAGCATTTCAGAGGAGGCTGAAGTCAAGCACAAAACTCCTTGCCAAGGCTCTTTTGGTTCCAGGCCTCTTCCTGCCCCCAAGTTTCGGACCTGATGCAGTCACTTCTTTCAGGCTTCAGGAAACAAGCACCTCTCCAAAGTAGCCCCGACCAGTTAAAGTCTAGGGAGTCGAAGCCCTGCACGAACCCTTGGAAGCCAGACGGGGGGTCGGGGGGAGGGAGGGGGGTCAAAACGCATCAGTGCCCAAACCATTTGGACTTTTGTTTCGCCTGCACCAGGAGGTAAAGAATTCAAGGTACCACGTACCGTGAAGATATTCTGCCTCATTGCCCGTCATTGCGTGTAGAACTACAGGCACCCGTCGCTCCTGAAAAATGTGTCATCCGAGGCCGCCGCCTTTGGTTGGGCCAGCCTTGTCCTGGGAGCACCAGAATCAACGACACACGAAGCTTACAAAATCCGAAACCCAATCTCCCAGCCTAAACCTTCTGGGGACGCAGGTCTCAGCATTGGCAAGTACAGTAGGACCGAATGCCAGGTGATCAATCTTGCCTCCACGAAGCTCTGGGCCTGTATGAAAGCATAAGTTGGTGCCATCGAGGCGTTGGGGCTTGCAGGGTTTGAGCGGGGTCAAGCCCTAGGAACGCAAAGCCGAAGCGGGCTGCCCAACTAATCATTATTCCTGTCCCAACTGCAGTAAAACATGGACTCCAAGCTCAAGAGCTACTTCCTCAACCCTCGCTGTGCTTCGGGTGCCCATCCCTTGCCAGGGTGAACCCTCGGAAGGTCCTTCCCGGCTGCTCGCCTGCAAAGGCTTCTGGCATGACTTTGCCGCTTTAGCATTGGGGGTATCTTATACGATAGTTATGATAGGGAACCCGCAGAATACAGGTAATTAGTTAAGCAAGTATAGTATGCTGTGTGTAGGGACAGACACGACTTGAAGCAACTACGAATCGATGAAGCACAAAACGAAGGACAGAACTCATTGCTTCCTCACTGAACCGTTACAAGCGGCAGTGAGGTTCAGGAACATGAGCGTTTATCGACTGGCTCTTGGTATGAACCCGCGACAGCCCAAGCGACTACACAGCAGAGTATGCCTGCTCAGCCGAGTTGTTCCAGCTGCCATTGTCATCTGCGCCTCGCTTTTCCACAGCTTGTGGGATTGTCAGTGCAAAGAGGTGGAACAACTGCTTGTCTCGCTGTATAGCACTCTACAGTAGCAGATTCTTTGGGAGCTCCGAAATCTTTCATTCTTTTGCGGGCCATCCAGGGGCTTCGACCCTCACTGCTAACAAGCACAATGTGTGGATTCTGCGGTTCAGTGAGCTAGTGTAGCTAGCATGAGCAAAAACAACACGAAATCCAAATATAACCCACGCAAACTGTGAGGAGGTATTTCGACTGATCCATCAATTTAACCCGCAAGAGTCGAAGCTACAAAAGAGTGCTTCGTCGTATACTGGCAACCAATCCTGGCATTGCAGGTGCTGGCAAAACCTAATACGACCGGGGGGGTTTCTGTACTCCGCAAGCTCCAGAAGCCAAGCTTGCCGAGATTCGCTTCTCACGCCATTGCCAGTCATCCTGCCGGCTCTCAGATGGGGGTTTCCGAAGATAACGGACCCTGGTATAGTACTTTATAAGAAGGTACCCCTAAAAAGCGGAAGCTCCCAGATTAGGGTTCAGGGATTTATGCCAACCCACGATTACAGGCTCGAGGTCACGGGTGTTGCATGCCAGTGCACCCACGCCAAGACTCCAGTACATGTTGTCTTGCTTATTGAAAATTACTGAAGCTCCACGGAATCCTAGTGTTCCGAGAATGTTCGTTTTCAAGTGTAGAAGCATGTCCCAAGTCTTCCACTGAGTGCATCTGCTTTGCCTAGGAAGCAGTTCTATCCATGTGAACTACGACGGCATAAAGCCGCTCTTTTGTAGGAACTGTATGGCAAAATTCAAGCATCCTCACCCACAATGCACCTCTACAACAGAAAGCACCACCACAGCATCTTAGTCTTAGACTGCCTGGCGACCATCCGCCTCTCCGTCCGCTGGACCTCGAGAAAGCAGAGAGAATGTTTCTCTGAAGTCACAAGCGGCCCTACGATTCCGGATCTTGTGAGTACAGCTTGAGACCTCCACTTCAGATTGTAACCTCACTCGGTCCGCGAGGTTGAAGCCCTTTACAGGAAGGAGCTAGAAGGAAAGAGGATGGCACAAGGACACCTGCTTGAGTCAATGGTGGCTTGAGACCTTCCGATTGTCATGTTAACTCGGACAGACGTAGAACTTCGGAATCCACATGGAAGACGAGTTAAGTGATGTTATGAGCATAGCAACATGGAGCAGCTAGACGAATATGGAGCATCAATCATGTGCAAAAGATGTGCTGTGCTGCAGATGATTCTTCTTGGCCGAGGCACGACGGCCACGGGAGCGCGACCTCCGACCGTCTCGGCCAGAGCGATTGTCGCGACTGTCCCGACGCTCTCGTCGGTCCTTGTCTCGCCGGTCCCTATCCCGGTCCCGGTCTCGGTCACGATCCCGCTTGTCATCGCGGTCACGCTGGTCCCGGCCACGATTCTGCTCTCTGTCCCGATCTCGATCACCTCGATCTCGGTCCCGGCCCTCGCCGTACTCGCGGTTGTCCGAGTAGTCGCGCCGATCGCGCTGCTCCCCATCCCGAGCCTTGGCTTTGGAAGGAATGCAGTCGAATCTACATGTGGTTTAACTGCGAGTAGGTCTGTCCACAGTGTGGCCATGGTTCAGCTTGGGGTGTCAAACGCGAGGGAAGGGAGGAGATGGGGACCCAATAACAGTGGCAAACCCTGTTATGAAATGTCGCGTGCAGTCTGTTTTCCGTGTGTACCCAAGCTTGACTCAGAACCATGGCTTGGAAGCAGCAGCAGCAGCAGCAGCAGTAGTGAAGGCTGCTATTTGGAGGATCAACCGTTCCTTTCAGGCTCGCGCGATTCTGGAATTTCCCAATCGTTGAATCAAAACCGTGCACCTTGATACACCGCAAAGCCCGGGGCACGTGTCCGACTTTCCGACTAAAGCGTGAGCCCTGAGCTCTGACGATAAAAGCCCGGGAGCATTCCCATCTCGACCCCCACGGTCTCGGCGGTCACGGACGTCTGTGCCCATGCCCATCCGAGGGCTGCCTCAAGCACAGGTTGCACCGATAAGAACCAATCAAACAAGATTCCAATCTCAATCACATTCCGGAACCTATAGGACCTGCATACCTCGCGGGAACGCTCCAAGCTGCGACGACTGAAGTCAAGGCTACAAGCCCCTCAGCAAACTAGCGGACCTTCAAAAGCCACGACAGAGCGCCGCAAACCTCTCGGACAGGTCTAGGCAATCGGACATGTAAGCCGTGCTGCGTGGTCTGCGCCCGCGCGCGAAGGGTCTCCTGTAGTCCGACGGGCTGCGGCCTGGACCGCAAGGATACAGCATCCACGAAGCAGCAATAATCAACCCAAGCTGGAAAGCTGAAGTGCGAATCAGATTGTTCTCGTTTTCTTCAGTGACATATCTAATGACAAACCCTAAACTTCTCCCGTACAGATAAGTCACGCTCGAACGGATGAAGCCTCAGCGCACCGCCGATGCGAAGCTCAAAAGATTCTTGCTTCGGGGTTCTAAGGTGTTGAGCTGTTCGTTCCGGCTTGAGGGCTTACGGTCTGTAGACTACGGCATTTCAGTTCAAGCTTTGAGCGGGCTCGGTCTTCATGCTCAGGGTGCTCTTATGCTGAAGCTTTCAGCTCTGTTGGGAGGGCTCAAGTTCAGGCATGAAGGTGCTTGAGAGAATGAGATTTCGGCGGCCCGTGTCGGAACATGTCGCAACGCTGGGTCGGTTTCCTACTCATGCTTCCGAAGTTTCGATGTTCTTCATCTCGTATCCGGGAAGCCAGTCTAGTGATGAGAGTTGCTGCTAAGCAGCTTCCGCTCGGCTGCACTGCCGATGAACTTCTCCGCTGACGAGCTGCTGCCTCGCCCCCCGACACATCGTTCGGGCTCCAATCGGCCGAATTGAGTTCAGGCTGTTCCGGTTGCATATGCGCTGTGGGGACCATGAAGCCCAAAGCCCAAGTCAGCAGGACCACCAGGAGACCACGCCAGAAAACCACCGAAATGCTTTCTCCCAGGTTCTTGCGGATTCAGGACCACGGTCCAATGCTTTCTCCACGGGCGGGATTGAGGGTCCGGGAGCCTGGCCGGAATGCTTGCCCCACGTATTGGCGGATCCTGTGTGAATGGAACCGCACTTTACTACGGCGGGGGAGACGCCCGCATGTGCGAATTCTCTCGTCCCTAAACGTAAGAGCCCAACATACACTTTTAATTACCATGTGTATTACCGCATTTCTTGGGGGGAATTTGGACATGCAGGCGAGAGGCTGGAAGAGCTGCTCGAAGAGCTTGAAGAGCTGCTGCGCTTGCTTGGGCCTCTGAGACGTGAGGAAAGACGCAGGGAGAGGCGGAGACCTGCTTTCGGTCGATGGGTCTGGGCTTGGATTCGCGACTTGGCTGGTGCTACGACACCTCTCTCAACGGGCAGTGACGCTATATGGCAAACCCGAAATCTGCAGCTGCAAGCACCGCGAACGCCAGAAACAGGCAAAAGTAGCATAGGAGCGTGCACAAAAGACGCAGTAGTTAACCTTTCTTGTCCCTATGTGTCTCTACAAGTATCCCGTGATCCGAGGCCCGAGCCTGTCGCAGTGGAGGCCTTGGACGCAAGGATTCGGTCTGAACGCTGTCGACGTTAGGATGGCGAAGGTGATAGTGATAAGGAGGGTGCCAGTTAGGCGATGGTGATAATGACACCCACCACTGGTACGGCACCGCCAACAACACCAAGTTTTATCTTCTGCATCATGTACGGCATCAGCATCCTTGTTTATTGTTTCGACGCGATCTTCTTGCGGCGACAGCACGACGTGGCATTTTTCGCTGCCGTCGATGTACGACGTAGAAGATCCTCCACTGCTTATATAGTCTATCTGAGGCGATTTCTGCAGCCGCTGAACTGCGAAAAGGCAACACGCTTGCCGCATCAATGCAAAATAATGCTAGCTCGGCAACTACGGCGCCCAAGAATCCGTGCACTTTCACACCCAGTGCGTCTGATGCGGAAGTGAAGACTTTCCCCCCGTCGTCTTCTGAACAAAACAACAAACTAGTCTACGCTGTGTGGTGGGGATCTTGCCGTCAAGACTGGCGCGCAATCTTGCCACTCTTGACCGGCAGCACTTGGGGGGGTGGGGTGACCAGTCATCTTGCCAATCTTGGTCATCTTGACCGCCACCACTGGCACCGCTTGGGGGGGCAACCAATCTTGTCTCCGACCAAGATTGGCAAGATTGCTGCAACACAGATCGGCTCTAGATTCCCAGCACAATGCAGCGAAGCCAGGGCCCAAGCCGCGGCAGGCGCGGCGGCAGGCTTGGCCGCTGCCGGCTTGGCCGCTGCCGGCTTGGCCGCTGCCGGCTTGGCAGCAGCCTTCGCCTTGGCCTCCGGCAAAGGGAGGAAAACGGCCCCGGAATTGAACCGAGAGATGAAGCCGAAGCCCCTGCCTTGTAGAACGTCCTCTATTCTGGAGATGTCGACTTTTCGGTGTGGTGCTGCTTCGTCGATTTAGGAGTGAGCTGATGGTCCTAAAGTTTACCTGTTGTTTTTGTTGTCACACGTGCTCGACAAGTCAGACGAAGTTTGGGGAGACTGAGAATTCAAGCAGTTCGAGCACATTGGCTCACGCCACCAATTTGTTGAGGGATTGAGGGCTTCAAGTAGACAACTTGTTGATCACCAGGTGGTTAGGCTTTCCCCCTCTGTGGTCGGCAATGGGGGTGTGGGGAGTCGTCGAGACGAAGACGTGAGAATCCTTGTAAGCGTAACTGAAGATTAACCACTTACACACGTCTCGAACCCTCGTTTTCTGAGATTCTGCAACTGCTTTAGGGTGCCTGCCCTGCTGCACACTTCCCTCGTGCATCCGTCCGACGGCCAACCCTACATCTGAGTTTCATAATATGATGTATATATACTGCATGCCAGTTTATATTAACGCTTCAACTTTGCTTGGCCATGCAACATTTATCAGGAAAACGCTTCGGCAAAAGGCTTCCTGGAGGAGAAGTCCTGAGATACTGACTCAAATTGTGAACAAACCAGTGCCTCGTTCCAGCTTTGAAGCCAGACCACAGCCCGAAATGTCCGAAGAACGAAGTTGTACCTCCCACTGCATCCCACTGCCGCTGCCTTCTTTTCCTCGTCAGACGAATCCCCGAGTGAGATCACCTCAACAGTAGGCGGTTCCTGTGATTGTCGATCGCTGCTCCCGCCAAACGTCCCACAGATCGGAAACCCGTATCGCTAAACCCACGAACCAGCAAGCAACCCTAAATTTCTTCGTGTTGGCAAGGGTTCCGCCGGATTTTTCCATGCGTCCGCAAGATACCCTCACGTTTTTTCCGACCTCCACAAAGGCAAAATGCCCGACGCCAACAGGAACTATCAACGGGTGCTATCGACAAATCTCCGGCAAATGCGCTGCCACTGCCAGCAAGCACCAAAGACTTCCACGTCATTGGTACACCGAAGCAAAGCGCCGAAAGCTTCTCAAGTCCAGATCAGTCGAGCTGCAGATTTACTTCTTTTCACCCAGCCTCGGTTGTCGAGAAGCATTGCATCGAGTTGGAACAGCCAAGACACAGGCAACCGCCTTCTAGAATATCTTGCCCACGTTAGTCAAACCACTCTCCTTCCACGTACAGGGCTTTTGACGGACAAACAGAACTCTGAACGCTGTAAATCCAGATTTGATGCCGGAGGCAGTGACACTGACACAAAACACCAATCCAAACCATTTGCGTTGCATGTCAGCTGCTCCGTTCAGCTACTAACAGCTGAGCGCATGGCCCTTCAACAGTGAGTTTTTCTGCAAAGTCCAAGCCGCCGCAGTTGTTGCACTCGTTGCGCTCGTGCTTGTTTGGCTCCCCCTGAAAGGAGGGCGATGAAAACTACAGCTAAACAATAAGCCTATGCATTGCCGATTTCATAAAGCCGCTTGTGAGCTTCCCATATGGGAACTTTCCATTTCTCCCCGGTCGCATAACACTTCGAAGGCGAGACATTTACTGGCAGAAGGAATGGGATCCGAGTGCCCTATTGACACTGTCGGGAGTGGAGAGGAGCTTTCGGGGTGTAGTCGTGTGTTGCGGGGTTTGGTTTGGTGCACCAGGTGGGAGTTGTAGAACCGCTGCCTTAATGTCCAATGTTTTCCGCAAGTCAATGCGAACTCCAGGCTTTTCGTAACTTCGATTAATACTACGAGTATGCGACTACTACCTTCCACATGTCAGAGCAGAAACCACGAGACTGAGCTCTGGCAGCCGAAGGGGGCCCCGTTCGGTGAATCATGTGCGCAAAGCAAATGCGTACCTGTCTTCAGTTGCAAGGATCGATGCCAGCTTTCTCACTTGGCGGTGGAGGTTGAGCCTTGTAAATTATAAAGGCCGTAAGTACAGGTCTGCAAGCTCTTTTCTTGATTGCTGCCAAGCTGCACAGCGAGGACACACCTGACCGTTTCGAAGGCTGACGATGCAAACTACAGCTGTGCCGACAAAAGCACACCTCAAGGCCTGCTATTTCAAGCAGCCCTTTTCGACACCTACATCCCTAAAGCCCTTCCCGAAACATGCAGTGAGCTGTGCCAAGGGGCCCATTTCTCTTTCGGCCTGGGTGCGCCGCAGCCTCGGCGCAGGAAAGTTTGGATGAGGCTTAGGATTCTGACAGGCTTTGTGGGCAAACTCTTCAACATCCAAATTGTACAACATGCCAGCATCGTCCAAATTCGGCGCTGCACATTGCTGGTAGTATAAGGCAACAACAAGAACAACACCTGACGGCAGTTGGTACTAGCAGATTTCGTCTTGTCGTTAATGCTTTAGGTTGGGCTACCAGTAGCAGTAGCACTCCAGTAGCACTCCAGAACACTTGCAACAGAGGAGCAACCAACAACAATTCACAAAACAACAGGAACAGATGAAACCAGGAGCGAAGACACGCAGCGTACAGCCGACACCCCTCTGACAGCACTGGGTTCATGAATCCTTAACGTCGTCTCTGGCTCACGTATCAGCTGTTGCCCACTGTCATAGCAGATGTATGTTGAAAAACACAGTTGAGCTTTCGAGGCTATATACGAGCTCGCACAGCCCCCACAGGACATGAACCCAAATATCCCCGCTCATCAAAGGCGGGAGGCTGTTGCAAGCCGTCCTCTCTCCTTTGTTTACCTCATCGCAGCGTGGGCAGACCCATCCTGGCAGGACGGACGGAAGATCGGACTGTCAAACTATCGAAGACGTCAGGCATGTCAGAGTAATCAAAGGAAACGGCTTTGGGATGGTGTCTATTGAGTTTGACCAGGTCAGTGCGACTGTGCACAATGCCCAAATGAGAAGGTTTCTGTGAATATACTCATGGTGGTGGTGTTGCAGCTGCTCTGCTACTGTTGCTGCGATTGCTGCCGACGCTGCTATTACTGCTCCTCCTACTGCTCCTCTACTCCTGCGCTGCTTCTGCTACTAAAGCTGCTACTAGTAATATGCCTAGCTCTGCTGCTTGCAATCATGATGCTACAGGGGCCATGGCGAAGGTGACGAACGCTACGACCAACATGTGTAACGCAAGCATCGCAGTCACTATGACCTGGGCCAACTTCACCTACAGCAACCGTCGTCCAACCATCCTAAGTGGGCCTACATAACATCAGATCTATACTCGCAGTAATATTACTTTGATCAAAGCTGACTACCATCTTCTTGATCTACAGCGCCACAAAGACCGCCCGCTGTGATGGTGACAACATCGACACAAATGACCGCCAAACCAGTGTTAGCAGCAAAGGCAACACCACCAACATCTCCGCCAGCAACAGAACTACAACCACCACCATCAACAGCAACATCAGTAATCGAGCATGTCCACCTTTGAAGCTATGACTTCCGAAACGGCCCGTCGGAAACGGTCGATATCCAAAAAAACAGGCAGCGCTTCCTACTTACTGTAGATGATCTTACGTCTGCCACCGCGGTGAAGCAGCCATATGGCAAACCTCCCATTCTGCATCGGAAGGATCAAGCCAGCACCCAACAACCCGAACCCGAAACTTTAAACCCAAACCACTAAAACCCGAACAAACCTCAAATCCAGCGAGGAACGTTCCGGCGGCGGCGCTGCTTTGGCTTTCGCCGGAGCCGGTGCCTCGGAATACTGCAACACGTTAAAATGCAGAGCTTTTCAGGCCTTTGCAGGCGCCGACTCTCGGATTTTCGGAGTCGGGGCTTTGGACCATCTGGACCACAAGTACACGTGCCTCATGAGCATACAGGTTGCCTCATTCGGCGTCGGGATGATGCTCGGGTCACGAAGTTCGTCAGGTTTAGCCATGCATCACGTCCAAGTGGGCCGCCGACGATTCGCGCATTCTGGGTGGTCCGGTCCGGTAGGCCTCAACTTAGAGCCTCGTCACGACCAGCTCTATCACTAAAGACACTAAAGACCAAACTGGCAGCATGCTAGGCATAAAGTCTGTTCCGAGAAAAACAACCCAAAGCAAACGAAACCCCAAACCTGGACGCTAAGATGCGGAAGTCCACAGTCCCATGCAGGAAAAATCTGCTACAGCACTTGGCATGTACCCTGAACCTACAATCCTGGACGGTCAGAACCTCACACTCCCCTCCGCAACATAATTTACACGAGAGCTACACCGGCGACAGGCTTCGGCGCGCCGCAGTTGTTGCACACGTCCTCAGTTTCTTTTGCAAAGCGGGGCTTCAGTCATGTGTGATGACTGTTGTACCGAGCTCAGTCTGTAAGGCACGTACAAGAATAATTACCGTAGCCTACTACGACATATTACGATATACTTTGCCTATATGGTACGCAAAGAAATGCACAACCGAGACTACCCACCAGTGCTTCAGGGTACGTCGTCTATCTGGAGGTTGCTTCACATTCATTTGAGCCATTTTGCGAAAGAGTTGCGACACACCGGCTGAACCCCTAAGTCCAAACAAAGCTCAGACCGAGAGTCCAGCCAGCCCCTGAATAGCCCTTCCAGGACCCGCATCAAGGGACCCTCTTAAGCAGCCTTGTGGAAGCACTTATCTAGTAGCCTGTTTAAAAAACTCACAGACACCGGCCCGACCTGAAGCCAAGAGGCACGCGTGGCCTTGTTCGGCTCCTCGCACTTTGGGCAGATCCATTTTGCCGGGGGCGCCTGCGCCAGAAAGGGCTCGTGTTTGTTTCGGAAAACCTTCAGAAAAGAAGCAACTTCACGGCGCAGAAGAAGCATCGCCAAATTTGATTACCCAGCAGAGTGCGGGCCCAGAAAACCAAAGCTTTATGCTGATGGTAACAATCCCGCAAGTTGGGCTTTTGAGCTCTGTGCCTTTCAGGACCATTCAAGACCTTTCGCTAGGCACACGCCTCTTGTGGAATGTCGTCTGCGGCCATGTCTGATGCCTCGACCGCTTGTAAGGGGGCGCATGGGAGGTGCACAAAGGCAGCTATGGCCTGGTGATGTGGTGCCCGTGCGGATCATCTTCTTATTTTGCTTACTCTTGCGCCCATCTTCAATACTTGCGCCCCGTTGATAATCTTACTTCCTTCTCAGAATGTACATACTCTCATGAAGTTCACTGTGCGACCATACTCCGGGCCGATCTCTTGGTAACAGCCCACGGAGGCCTTGTCGGGCATGGAGGACTCAGAAGCAGCCTCTGCACTTCTTTCTCAGACTACGAATTCATCAGTGGTGGCCCGCAGCGCGTCGCGGGGGTTGGGGTCATGCAGGGCTGAGCTAGATAGACAACCTGAACGATTACAGAAGTCTCCAAACAAAAGGAAATATTTTTGAGCGGCGGTATTGCAAGCCACTCTATCTTTTCTTGCAGTGCCGCTACTTGCGAGCACTTCTGTGCTTGTAGGGATTGCTTCATGCGAGGTTCTTGCTTTGATGATGGTGCAGACAGTTCCTCATATATTGGCATCCTCCTGGTTGAATAACGGTTACCACACCGCACACGCTTAACGAGTCTTCTACTGCAAGTCTTCGCGGGGTTCTGGTGTGCTCCATTTCAGCAGACTTGAAGCAGTGCATTCTAAGCTTGTATACAGGTGACCAAGTAACTAGAAGGGAAATCAGCCGGCCGATCAGTGGCAGAATGCATACACTAGTGGCTAGTCACTGCAGTAGTCGCTCAATTCACAAGAACGAAAGCAGTGTATGAATAACTGGAAGCATATACTTGCAGGGAATATCAGCTCAACAGCAGCAGAGACAGCACCCTCACAGGCACATCAAGCTAAATTCCCTGGAGCCCCATGTTGCCGGCAGCTTCCAGAAATCGTACACCCGAGCCCCGAGCTCAATAAGCTTACATAGATTGCTTTAGTCTGCACCCCCAAGCTGTGCCACCGTCCCCTTCTGGCGCCTGAGCCTCCGAAGAAAGCTTCGTGGATGGATCTTCTCTGGCAGAGGAGTCCTCCTTCACAGGCTGTTCCTGCTGCACGGAAGCTTCCTGCGTGTTGCAAGATCCCTCCTTCACTGAGGACCCTTCTGCCGCAACGGAGCCCTCCTTGGCAGAGGAGTTCTCCTTGCTGGAAGACTGCTCCTTAGAAGAATCCTCCGTGGCAGGGGGACCCTCCTTCGAAGCGCCTTCCGATTCCTCTTTGCCAGGCTCCTTCGAAGAATCTTCCTTGGAAGAGGGAGCCCCTTGCACCGGCTCCGTCTCCCCCACAACCTCCTCTCCCTTTCCATTCACCTCGCACACGAAAACGGAAGTTCTGGCAGTTCTGGGGACTGGGAGATGTGGAAGAAGTGTCTCAGCATTTTATTCAGTGTGACCTTCCACGGGTCAAAGACGGTCTGCTGCTGTCTTGTTTAGCGCTCTGCCAAACCTACTCCAGGTACAGAGTGCTAGTCTTCTGCGGCCGGACCTTCTGAGCCCTGAACCATAGCATGTGCTACTAATGCACCGAGTCAAACATAGTCTTGCTGGCAATTCATGTCGAAGCATTTCGGGAAGCAGCTTCTGAACCGCTGTAGTCACGCACACATCCCAGCTTTCAGCAGCTTCGACATCAACCAAAAGCTTCAGCAGACACGTCGCCACACCTACAATACCGTCATCACCAGCACACTCACCACATCGCCCTAGCCACCAGTAACTCCGAGAAACCACGGGCCAAGAAACCTGGATCTTCTACAAGTCCCATGATGGGCCATGGGCCATTAATCAGTTACAGCCGCCTGGGCCTCTGCAGAGGGCGTGCTGGCGTCCTGAAACTGTTAGGAGAAGCTGGTGGCTGCGGTTGCAACTTCTCGGCAATTGCACACCGCAACACGAAGAAGAGCAACGGGTGCGGCCGACACGATTAACCCTAGATCGCCACAGCCGAAGACATCCGAAAATGCAGATACAGCATCAGCAGCAGTGGACGGTCCTTCGGAGCAGCGTCCGGGATGTCATCTGCGGCCATGGCCCAAACGCTGCTCAATTAGGGGACAACTTGCGTGGGTTTGCAGAGACTTGCGCTTTCGTAAGACATGGTCTGGCAAGACAGAAGTAGTTGCGACTACTGTGCAGAAACTCTGTGGCATCGCCCTCCTCGGCCACGTACGCCCTTTCATGTTGGCTTGAAGTGTGTTTGCATAGGTTCACTCACATTTCTCGTTGGATTCGACGTGTTTGCAGACAGTCGCCTCAAAATCTGCATATTCGGCATGTTGGCACTGCGATGCGTGCGCCTGTTGGCTGAGCCACCGCTGTGAAGCGCTCTCCCACGAAGTTCGGACAGCAGACCGCCGTGAATGTCTTGCAGGATGCCGTGTTAGTCCAGGGCTTCGGTCGGGTGGCTCAGGAGGTGTGTCAGGTATTTGAGTCCTACCGAGATGCAGGAAGAGATGAAGATACGAATGACCGCCGCTGCCCCAGCTGCTGCTGTTCTGCTTGCAAATGGGTGTGACGTTGTGATGAACATGAACACATAACGACTGTCGTGTGAAGTTGAACATGACAAGCTTGAATATAGCTACGATGGTGGAGATGCAGCCGTGGGACGATGCTCAAGGCGATGATGTTGGGGAACGTCATGAACATGATGGTGAGAACTCACCTAGAGTCGCTTCAAGATGCCGATCACGAAGAAACAGCCGAGAACGTTTGTGGCTACCCTACATAAAAAGGACAAAAGGCACCGTGCATGAGGTGCAGAAGATAATCAGCAAGAGCCGCAGCAACAAATGCAATGATTAGTGTTATTAGTGTTCGCAGCAGGTATGACCCAACATATTGTTGTCGCTTTGTCGGTTCGCCGACTGCGGCGAGCGCCATGCGGCCTCGCAAGAACCGGGCTTCCGGAGGCATCTAGAGTCTAGACTTTGAGGCTATCTTTCTTTCGCTAGGCATACGACTGCAACTTGTGCTCGCTACAGCCGAATGCAATATGGGCTAGCACAAGAGATTTCTTCCAGAAGGTGTAAGGGAGGCAGCCCACACAACTTAAGCACAGAAAGCTGGAAAGACAAGTGCGAAGACGACTAACCACAGCTATTGCTTATACACTGCTCTATGTAACCTCAAGAACACCGACTAAGGGCAATGCAGGGACACCCCATGCATGTTTAGGATGCGGTGTGTACTTCGCATCTCTGCTACTACGAAGATTAAAGAAACACTTGCAAGGCTGCATGCTAGACTATGCATGGAGCTTCACAGATGGTGCAAAAGAGGCCCCTGTACAGAAATAGTAACAGTGATGACAGCACTGGAACTCACAGACAAGCCATCGCGTCAATGCGCCTGTGTTCTCAAGAACATAGCAGCAGTGCCCACATAGGAACGCAACAGCAAACCTAACACTGGTACTGGCAAGCTTGGCAAAGTTCGCAGCAACAAGACTTAGTCGGTTCAACCACAATTGCCAGCTTTAAGATAGCTGCACAAGCATCAACAAAAGCAAGTACTGCGATGCAGGCATCTGTCCACTCAACATTCGTGGTTCATTGCGGGAACCGCTGTAGTGACCCCTTTACAATTAGCAGACCAAGCATCCTTGTGAGGCTATTTGTTATGAAGCGCCCGTAAGCCTCTGCGTTTGAAAACAAACCCTCACCGCCCACCCAGTCATGCAGTGATGCAAGCGTTGGTGTCTTTTCTGGTTGCCTTCGACTGCTGGCTGGAAGGATCAGCGATTGCCGGGAAGCAAGGTCTCGCCAAGCTTTGTATATAGATATGGTGTACCCCTCCATGAGCAAACGCATGGACAAACACGTCGCACGAAGGAGCAGATTCGGGACTATATCCGCCGATGGATGATTGGGGTTTTATCTTCGCATAGCACTGTTGTAGATCGTAGGATGCTCAGCTCAAGAAGCTACGTGGAGCTTGCATGCGATCAGCTGCGCTTCGAGCAGCTGAGAAAAGCAATGCAAGCAAACCTGCCCAGCTGCCTCTCGCTGCGCCAAGCTCGGAGATGAGCTGTGGAGACCCCAAATGCCACCCCAAAAAAGGGCACGGCTGGGCAGGTTGAAGGCACAAGGCAGGCATGGGTTCCATACCCGCGCGGCCATTCCTAACTCTACTAGGGCACAAGCTCGCGCAAAGTCCGCGGGCTGTGCTGCAAAACAGTGTCGACCTCTAGACTGTAGTATCTGGACCATCCAACTCATCAGGGCCCCAGTACTCTACTAACGAACGAAACTTCACCAACTATAGCTGAGAGGAGTCTGCAGCATCCCACTTGGCGCATCCATGGAAGCCCGCACGTGGGCCTGCACGATTGATCTCGTAACTCTCCCTGCAACCCAAAGCGCTTTCAAGAGCAACCCGCCGATCATATCATGTCATCTGCAGACTCAGCTACCACACCTACCAACCCTGCCGACACAGAAGTCTGGAGCAACTTGAGCCACATACTCCTAAGTATGAACCAAGCTTTAAGCCTGAAGACTGCCTAGGGCGTCATTCTTCCGATTCACTGACAGCCGTAACGTTTCGCATGACCTACTTCCGCATGGTCATGACGAACAGTCTTCTGCTTGCTGTGAGCAAGTAAAACTAGGAGAGCCGGACCTAAGCCTGGGAAGCCATGGAGGCCATGACATCCTCGAGGCCAAGCTTAGATCTGGACCCGAAGGCTTGCAGCTTGAGGGTTTATGGGGCTCTTTCCTCTGTCCAAGGCTAGGGATTCCAGTGCTCCTCAAAGCCTGCTGACGGGGATTTTTGAGCTTGAGGGTCAAGGTTTCGGAGTTGGGGTTAGGCTTTGGCTGCAGTGAGATCGCTGGGTTTCAGGGGGTCGGTCTTCGCCTTCGCTTCTTGTCACAACGGGGCCCGGGATTGGGGAAATGTAAGGTGTTCTGGGGAAGTGCTTGAGATTGCCGGGTGTTTTGTGGCAGTCAGGATTGAGTGAAACTAGACTCTTCATGACATTGGAGTGGACGATAGCAGTGATGCCGGCGATGGTGGTGGTAGTGATGGCGACTGCGACGAGCAGAAGGGCTTGTGTCATGAGAACCATCACAATGACGGTAAAAATAGTCATGATGGCGGTGAAGGTGATGGTGATGCTGCAGATGCTTCTACAGATATTTGGAGGGTTTGGGTGAAGCATGGTGAAGTCCATGCCTGTTCTGTTGGTCAAGTTTCAACAGCAACAAGACGACGGCTTCGATACAACCACGTCTTGGGCGACGCGTCCCAACTGAAGTTCTGCCAGGAGGACACATTAAACGGGCCACAGGTGTAGCTGGCATGTGTTGCGAAATTGCGAACTTCTGACCTGATCCCGAAACCATGGAGATGAGTTACCATCGGGCATGCAGGCTAGCTGTGTGTGGTCGTCGCGTCAGGCTGCGGCTTGCTTGTCCAGTCAGTGTGTAGGGACCTCAAGGTGTAGCGACAACATCCATGTGTACTCCCTAGTTACACTGGCATTGCCACATAACCAGTAAACCTGCAAACATGTCGGAGAAGTTTAGCATTTCTCCAAGTCTGCAACCGGCTCCAACTCTAGATCTGCACTCCTGCAGGACGCTATGAAGCTGGTCATCGCTTCCTCGAGTGACTCGCCTCGGGTGGATGATCTTGATCTCGGCTTAGGGTGGAGGCTCAAGTCATGCACGTACTAACGAGGCTACTGCGACATCCCAAAACTGTGCAATATACATCTGGCACTGTGCCAACCGAGCTTCTCGAACAACCGTACTGAACTGGCAAGTTTTGGAGCATCGAACTGGCCCATCAAAGATGGAACACCTGGGCGAGCTTCGGTTTGGGGAAATCACACTTCTAACGTATAGCGCTTCGGCCCGGTGCAGCCTTAAGTGGTTCTTCTTTGCCAACACTATCGGAAGTCGGCAGAGAGGCTGCAAGGTCAGCCTGACTGTGTCCTGCATGTGCAATGTTGTACGGCGGTCGCCATTACTAAAATTACAGTAAGGTGATACCGCACAGAAGAACACTGAACCTGCACAGATTGAACGAATCGGAGATATGTAACGTCCTGTTGTGGCGATTTCGATTAAAGCCGCACGCGCTTGAAGCTACGAGCTTTTCAACCGACTGTCAGCTCAAACAGTATATATCGTTATATTGTTGATCACTGCTGCAGCAGTTGTCGGGGCCGGTGTCGGGATCATAGTGATTGTAGAAAGCACTGCCTTTGGAAGTAAATTTCCCCAGTGACCCAACCTCGACAACGAAAGGTCTTACACTACCCTTTTGGCCTTAACTTACATGTCCCTTGCTTTGCCATCGCCTCGCTTGCGGGGTGTGCACTAGTCACTAGCGAAGCCGACTCTTGCAACACCAGTCTCTTGACTTGAATAAGCCGCCTGCAGCTACTTTGGGTTGCCATTGATCCGTAGGCCCTTGATGTTGCAGGGAGAAGCGAAAATCTGACAGACGACAGGACACTACACCCCAAAATCCTCGAACCTCAACGGTGAACATGGAAAAGGCAAGGCGCTTTTCCCGGCCCTCAGTTGATCTCGCACAGCGGTCATCATGGCGAGATAGTTCTGGCGCAAGCTTACCTGGAAATCCACAGCTGCCTGACTTCACCTATGGTTGAATGTGCAAACGGTACTCCATGTTTTGTTTCCGTGGGTTGATATTCCAATGATATTCTGTTTTCTACTTCTGTTGCAACATGGCCATGTGATGGCCGGCGCATTGATTACTTAGAACTCGCCTTGCGCAGGCCGAGACTTGGAAACATGCGATGCAACATGATTCTGTCCGAACTGGTTCAAACATGTTCTACAGTGCGCGTAGAAAGCATCATGTTTCTTTGGTCGTCTTCTTCGACACAAGACTTGTCGTGCAAACTCCAGTCCCCATCAAAGGAGCTGACTACATTCTACAGAAAAGATGGCAAGCACAAATCGCAAAGAAGATCGATCTGACAAACCGGCCTCGCGCAGGTTTGGCAGATTACATACAGGTGTGTGTGTGTGTGTGTGTGTGTGTGTGTGTCTGTGTGTGTCTGTGTGTGTGTGTGTGTGCGCGCTGCGTGTGTACCCCCCAAACAAAAAAACAAAAACAAAAACACACACACACACATGCATCCACACGTGCATGAAATTTTGTAATATTTATCAATGATAGACAGACTGATGTAAATAGGTCGACCGGTCGGTGGGTGGAAAGCACGTTCGCGTGGGGTAGGCAGGGCGGGGGGCTAGGCAGGCAGGTACCCGTAGGTAGGTACGGTGGCAGGTGCAGGTAGAGAAGTACGTCGGTAGGTATGAACCATCGTAGTGTATGTGGTGTATATACACACATACATACATACATACATACATACATATATATATATATGTATGAACACCCATACATACGTACATGCGCATGTGTGTGTGTGCTTGTGTGGGTGAAGGTGTGAATGTGTGCATGTCGACAAAGATGCCCGTCCCATCATGATAACCAACTTGCACGCACGGCTTTCCACGGTAAATAACCAATCGTAGCAAACACACACACACACACACATGCGCTCAACTAAGAATTCCACACTTTCAGCCTAGTAAACATATTACCATACGCACGTCTGACACATACACACATGCATGCATGTTATGTACATAACTCAGCACACGCACGAAGACACGTGCTACCGCACCCCTGCCCCACACGTGCTGAAGTTGTCGGAGCTGTCACTGGAACGGTCAAAGACCGCTGCACGTGTGACCAAGCCTCCATTTCAAGCGGCGGATAACGCTTGCCATTCATTTCGAAGGCCTATCCTGTGACATCCGCCCTCAAGCAGACGAGGTGCTCCATCGTTCTCATAGGCCAAGTATGCCCGTGCCTCACGGCAAACGAACTTGCAAAGTCGGGTATCGTCCCTTTCAGCACATATAATAAACTGTTCCAAATCAGAAAGCCACACACACACATGCCTCCCAGAACCCAATTGGACAAGAAATCTGTCGCTGTCGCCCACCAGTGCAGGGGCGGAAAAACTGCACAAGCAAGAAGGCAGAAGGCAGTGACCAGCTTTGAGTGTGGGCGTGAGGGTCCAGCAGCTCTCGTGAGGTTATTAAGCACACTTACTGCAGAGTTCCTTTCGACAGCACCCCGAACCGGAGCGGGCCTCCTCATCCGACCTTCAGGGGCACACTCCGTGAGGATGCAGGGGACGTGTCTCAAAAGCCAGCATTTTTCGTCATCGAAGGTAACAACGATTGTGCTGGTATGCTAACAGCAAACCATCATCTCCTTCATCATCCTTGGTATCGTCGTAGTCGACAACACCCAATGTCGCACCTCAGGGCGAACTTCCGGTTCACGGAACTGCCCTTCTCCACGCCGTGCACGACATGGGGCGGCGTGGGGATCACAAACCTGATCGGATATAGGACTCGAAGTCCCATCACAATCCCTGGCTTGAAACGAGAAGGGAGCTGTCTAACACAAAGGCTTTGCTAAAGGACTTGGTCCACAAACGAAATTGTCCAAAGGCTTCAAAAAGCCTGGCGGTTTAAGCTCGGAATGTGAAGATCGTTATGCGGCACCCAAAGACTTGAGACGCTGAATGTCAACACTCATGGCGTGGATAGTCGTTTTCGTGGGGATGATCAGGGCGAGGATGGTTGCAGTCATGAACTAGTCATGAACCAATTTTCACGGCTTGCGAATAAAGGTTCCTGCATAATATGTATAGACACAGCAGAGAGGATGGCGCCTCTGAACTACACAGACACAGGCATTGATGGTGGTTTGGCCAGAGCTGCCACATCCAGCAGCTGCTCTTTCTGCCAGCCCGAATCTCGCGAAGCGCTTTGGCAAAGATGTCCTTCCTTGGAATAGGCACTTTCGCTTAGATCTGCCATCCAGATTTTAAACGATGGCTGCGACAAACAGATGCAAGCCGAATTTGTCCAGTAAACCAACATGAAAACCAAGGACTTGAGGTTCCAGTAGGTCTACAGGAAGTAGGGCCACAACTCAGCACCGTTTTCGGGGTGGGAGAAAATATGAAACCGCCGTAAAACACGACATGCACCGAACATTGAGCTTTTGAATCGCCGTTCGAGGGCTCTTAGAAACCAAGAGGAGGGCTCGATCTCCAACAAAATTCTCAAAGGACATCCGCCAGGGTTCTGCGCCTCTGTAAACCTATGAAGCGCGAATCTCTTCTGCGATGGAGTGGTTACCTGCCATCGGGGAGGCAGGGAAAAAGGCTTACGCATTTCACGGCCACCTGTTTGAATGCACGACTCCTCTGGTGTCATTCTCAATCTACTCGCGATCAAAAACACGGGCAGCTATCTGGTTCATAGTTGACCTCGTTGCCGCAACATATCTCCATATCATGATTCTAAACAAGATTCTTGCCACGGTGCTGCTAACCCTGGTGCATCAAATGGGACATGAACACTATTGCTATCCCTTCTGTTAGGAATTGAGGGCCGTTGCCCTTATGATGAGCTTCAACCTTTGGAAGGTTGACGGCTTTCGGGCATCTTAAAGTCCTAAGGCATCGGAATCTCAAAACAAGGGAACCAATCGAATGGCTTGTAAAGCACCGAAACCTCCAAGCCCTGAGCCCTGAAGCTCTGCGAAGGCACTGGTGTGGCGGACAGAGACACGGGATTTGAGCCGAGGTCGGCCTTCGGAACAGCAGGGAAAATAACATGGTGAGCTTCAGTTCAGTACAATTCACAAGCAGGTTTTGGGATGTGTTTGGAGTGTCTTAGTGTTGGTGGCATTCTTTTGCCAAGTCTAGAGTCTAGAAGACTTTCGGCTTGCAAGTCCGGTTTGGGAGCCGGCGTCCTTGAGCCTCGCGGCCGTTGATCATGATGTTTTGCTTCTTATCAAACCCATCCGTGAACTACGGCCGAATGTACTATGGTTACTAGCCGCAGCCTTCGCGGAGTTCTATGGTGGCACGTCTAACGCAGAGCCCCTGTTATCGAAAAACAGAGCAGAAACCGAGCCACAGGCGCTGGAGAGCAGAGAAGTTGCAATTATAAAAACCGCAAACACACCCCCCCTGGCCCTGCCTTGGAAGGTTGGTTCAGTGCGGAGAAGCGTCGGCTGCTGCCTTTGCTGCGCTCCAGTTCGGCTGTCGTTTCTTGTCTCACGACAGGCTTCTGCCCGGTTGCTTTGGGATTCAAGACACAGTTGAAGGCTGAAGACAATCAAGTTCTCATCACAGAAAACTCGTGCTTCAGCCTGCCGGCCTTTGTCAGATACCTATAAGGCAATAAACCAAGAGCCAATCATGCGTTGCAAGTTGTGATCACGGACACGAACCGCTTACCAAGGACATGTCTACCACGCCCAGCCCGAGGTGCCCTGCCGGGGCTGCAGGCTAGGTCGGCTGCTGCTACGGCGCACCTCCAGAGTCTCTGGCACTTCCTTGGCTGCCAGTGGCAGCGAAAGGGAAAAGGATAACAACTGAATTTCCAACGTGTTTTGGCACATGCTTTCAAGTCTCGAGCTTCTCACCTCGGTCACCCAGCACCGGAGAATAGGCCACTCCATCCGGAGACTTCGAGCGGCAGCGTCGAGGCGACATGAGCCTCACCGCTGCTTCGCGGAGGTTCTCCGGGACGGAGTGCTGTCTGGGGATTTGTGGGTCACGTCCACGGGTTGCAGGGATGGAGGGCCTTTGCAAGGTGGTCGCCACCGCGATCTTTGGGGTGGGTCGATCGGTGCTCGTCTTCTCCAAGCTGGCTGCAGACTGAGACTTCATCATGGATGCGCCCGACGGGCTGCTGGGAGGGTGCAAGGATGCGCTCTTCTGGAGGGGCGTCTTCCCCTGACGTGGTTGGCAAGGCTGCTCCGCCGAAACCCGCTGCTTTCTTGCCTGCATTAAAAAGACAAGGGAGAAGCATGCTTGTGAACTACGAGGACAGCTCGCTATGCCAAGGACTCGGAGTGAACCTGCCTGCCGCTCCTGCTAGCACTACATACTACCGCGAAGAGCCGTGTCTTACGGCTACTACAAGACATAGCAACAACACCACCGACACGATGATGACAACACTGTATGCCGTATACTACATCTTCCGCCACCAGGACGAAGATAGTAATAGCCATCAGCACTGCTTGGGTGGAGCTAGGCACCCATAGACTCCAAATGGAGTCAATTCCTTACGCCGCCACTGATCGAAGTACATGCCACACAGCCACACAGATCACAGTGATGGAACAAAAGCATCCACCTGGGTCGCGGGTCCTCAGCCCCCGCCTGCGCTCGATTGGCCGCATTGCTAGGCCCGTAGGTTGTCGCAGTTGCCTTCCCAGTTGGGCTCGCGGCCCGTTGGGAAGCTCCGCCTTCGGATGGGGAGGGCTACAGCAGGGCTTGAGGCCATTCGTCATTGGCCAGCATAGTGCATGGCTGAATCCTGAACCAAGCTACCTTGCTGTGGCAGCCGGGCTGAGAAACGGCGCTCCACTTGTGGATATCCCGCCATAGCGGCCAAGCGGAACGAAGCCTTTTCGAAGAGCTGCTGCTGTCCCCTTTGCTGCATTTTCTGCTATGGAATGAACATGAAGTAAAACTAGCAGAGCTGCTTCTGCTCGAAGACGCATGTGTAGGCAACATAAGATAAGGAAGGTCGAGCCGCAACTTGCAGAAACGAGTGATGCCATGCAAGCGCAGAGTTTTGCGATTCTTGACCGACCCGGCCCGGTTTCACAGCCAGAAAAAGCAGTATCACAAGCACTCGACGGCTTAGAGTCCTGGCCTCTTGCAAAGAAGGACGGCTCGCAGGGCCCATCGACATGGCGTTGATAGCGTCAGGGTTAACAACTTTCAGGCCATGCGATATAACCTTGACCCGGAGAAGGTTCTATGCATTCTGTCAATGCGCTTGAGCAGCTGCAGCCATCCTCACCTGGCCTCAATATTCCCATTCGCACGGATTGGGCATGAATGACAGGCGAAGCTCAGCAAAGGTAAGGCGCGCTGCCGAGAGGCGTCTCGAGGCGTGTTTCTGAGTACCGCATTACTAACCCTGATTTCGCAAGTATTGCACTGTTGTGGCTGTCATGTACATATCGAAGGCTGCGGGACATTCAATTCTTGCCGCTTGCCTTTGTAAACCTGCTTTCCGCTACGACAGGGATGATTGTGCATGCCGTTAGATGTCGGCCCTTCTTCGGCTTCGTCCCGGACGAGGGGTTCTCGGAGTTGGGCTGCCTTCCCATAAACAGGCTCTGCGGACATCCTCTGCGGTCTGGATCCAGCTGTCGTTCAAAGATGTCCCGAAACTGACCTGACCACACTGTGCGCCGATACTCCACAGTCGCAGCATGGCCCTAAGCATCGTTCTCAGTGGCATGGTAAAAGCAACAGCCGCAATCGCAGCTCTGGTCGTCCCGTCCGTACTCTCGGTACTATACTATGCACATTCATATAATGACAGCTGATACTACATAACACTGCAGTCATATCTCCCCGGCAGCTGGTAAAAAGACCTGTTCTGTGATAGGTGAATATCGGTGAAGCCGAAACTTTAAAGCTTTGTCTATCTACTCCCATGCTCCTACCGACGCTGGGCCTGCACGTGGCTGTCACAGCCAGCTGAGCACCAGGCATCCAACCCCTCGAAGCTTCGCCCAGACACCTCCCGAATGCTGGGGGTTTGGCAGAAGGTAGCCGGAGTGTCGCTCGATTGAAGTGGCTAGCACTCATGCAAGGTCGACCTCCGCGCTGCGAAACTATTTGCGTTCTCAACTTTTAACATGTTCGGACCGAAAGCACCACAGGATCAAAATGGAACCGAGTGCGTCATAACGGCGAAAAATGGGCGCACCATCCAGAAGTAGAAACCCAGGGTGCCTCGCAGAGAGCCCGGCCTTTGGCCACGGCATTCTGAACGGCATCAGCCCCTGCCTGCAGAAAAACATCATGCTCATGAAGGCTTAGGGCCCACAGGGCTGTTGGGGTTTCTGCGCTCACGATCGGAATCTCAATGACTCAAAGCGAGACGGACACGTTGAAGCCCCTAGAGAAGTGGAACTAAGAGGAACAAACCTTCCAAGTCCGAACAGCAGCAGTCCACACATATCCAGTTCAGCAACTTTTCCCAGCAGCTACGAACGCCAGCCTTACTCGCACACCTGGAATTCTCTCACTCAAGCCGACACTTCTCTGCTCGATCACCAGGTTACTCGCAGTGTTGTGAGGGTTTGGGCATAGGGTGGAATGACTTCACATGTTCTGGCTGTTCATGTGAATTCATATACAGGGTTTCCGTTTGGACTCGGGTTTGTGAGTGATTTTGCGCTGAAAGGTTATGGAACTCCTACACTGCGATCGACTCTTTTCCGACATGACATAGGTTAGGCGTCGATGCATTACGGCTTTCTGGGGAAGGTTTCACAAGCGAGGACGCCCTTGCTTTTGAGGATCAAGTCGACACGGCGAACCGATCATGCCACCATGAAAAGAAACTCAGGGCCTGCATGTGGGGTTTAGACTTGCAAACTCGGACACGGCCAGATACGGTTGCAGAGAAGTGCGGTCTTCTGGTCGAAACAGATGGGAAAAACGAAAAACAAACAACACTATATCACATCAGAACTGTCAAATTCGAAAGACTTGTTAACACCCTGGCACTTCAAAACACGATACAGATTTGAAAACCAGGGTGCGAGGATGAGGGTATCGCAATATCAGAAGTCTCGCTTGCTTGCTCTCCTACTTGTGCCTGCCTGTGCCGCGCGCACCCAGTCAGCGAGCCTTGAGGGTTGCTTAGTGGTTTTTCCTTGCAGGTGTTTACATATGCGTAGATGTGACAACCTAATGTTATATGTGCGGCCCTTTCATGCGCACACATGCGCCAGGCACCCGATCACGGTGTTCAGCGATTCGTGTGTCTTATACCCACAAGATTTTATAGAGGAGGTTAGGAGCAGCATGATTCAGTGTACAGTACTCAGCACAGGCTTTCGGGTGTCCCCGATAGAAGACTAACAACAAATCCAAAGGATTTCGGAGTTTTCAAGATACTTGAACCAGTTCTTCTGCGAAGATTGCAGCAGCTTGAACTCAAAGTCACTACCGACGCCCACCAAAAGAGACTACCTTTTCGGGATTTGGGGATGATACCTTCAGGCTTCGTTTTGCGACGTCGTTTTCTTGACAACGCCAAGCCTCCGAAGACCGATGCCGAAAGATGATCTACTATACCGAATCCCAAAACGGAACTCGTGGGCTCAGGATGAACAAGGGCTCCGCTGCAGGAACGAACCGCGAGTGACACGTTGCCCGAAGGGGATAAGCACAACGTATACAAGCCAACTGAGCAAGAAATAACTACATCTGTCTGTCTGTCGGTCTCTCTGTCTGCGTTGTATGCATGTAGTTACGTATGTATGCGTGTACATACGTCCATGCTTAGTTCTCGAACACATGTATTATTTGATGTACACCCCTGCAAACGAACGTACATGTAGCATGCCAACGTAAATACCTATACATATGCACATGCAAAAGCATGTGCACATAGTTTTTTTTATATACATCTGCACATACAGATATATGCATCTTCATACAAGTGCACTCATACAGAAAAACAACACATTCCTTCATGTGTACATACACATACCTGCATATATCCGCATTCACACGCATGCAACACACACAAAAAACACATGCACACAAACAGAAATACGTAGCTTAACATGCTATAGCGTGGTGTAAAATTAAAATAACTATTAGAACAGGAATAGCCGACAACGTCCACTCAAGTCTGGGAAAAAGTGAAAGCCCTAAAACAGAGGTCCTGGCGCTCCGGCCACCAGCGCTTCAGCTTCGGGGCGTGCGAGCTTGGTCGCACTAAGGGCCTTGAGCTCCTGATTACTTCAAGATTCAATGGTTTAGGATTTGAGGGTTTCCGCACAAAGCTTTTAGGCTCGAGACCGCAACAGTTCTCACCTGATCCATGTGAACATAGCCCCTCAGGCCACCACCGACCGGAGCTCATCTGCAGTTGTGGCATTTCGCTGATGCCGGCGAGACAGCTCCTGCCGGCACGAATGCACTTTGAGAGTGTCAGCCTCAACATCGACTCTACTAAGCCCCAGACTAGACCAGACTGGTTGCACCTTGCATTGTCTTTCCCATCGAGCGAAAGTGATGATGCTTCTGCTGTGTCATTCTGTCGTTCCGAACGATGCCCGTAATCTTGGCAGCCCGGAAAAGTACATCGGGAACTAGTGGAGAAAGCGGTGCCGCGCTGTCCTCCATTTTTCGTTCACACCTCACTGAGTGCCGCAGACCGAGGACAAACATGAATGTTCCGTCCGACTCTGACTGGAAAGCTTGCACAAGCAATTGCAGGTAGGAAAGCCTATAGGGGCACAAAGTCTCGGGCCGCCTGAAGATTGCACGGGGCTGTGTGAACAGCATGACAATGCTATCGATTCTGGAATCACAGACGACTCTGCGGTAGACCTGGAAGCTGCTATAGGCATCGGGCAGCTTCATCTGCTTCAACTTACATACTCAGACGAAGCGGCACTTCACATGACGTCAACAAGGGGAGGCAAGCAAATTTTAAATGCACGTTCTGTTGCCTCTGGGAAACCATTAATGTACAGCTAAACAGCTAAACACAGGAACATTAGGTATACAGTTCCACTTATATATCCGTATTGACGTCAAGTCGGACGCAACGAGTACAGGCTGGCTAAGCACACCAAGCAGAGAGAGCCCTGACTTTTGAGAACCTCCCAGTAGGGGAAGCAGCAGACCCAGCTTCGTCAGAACCTCTTGGAGGCTCTCGAGAGGCGAAGGGCGGTGAAACATACACGGACTCCGAACACCAAGCAGCAACAAGATTGGTAGTCGTTGTCATCGTCATCGTTGGAATTCGTGTCATTACCATTGTGCTCTCGGCGATCAAGAGCAGAAGTCGAAGCTTGGGAGGTTTGCGGTACTACGCGGAAGCAAACGCCAACTGGTCTCGATTCAGAATGCTCCAAGTCCCCAAATCTTGAGTCATGGATTGGCCTAGCTCTGACAGACCGAAGTCCTCAACCCCAGGCACACCGTGGGCTTCATGTCATCGGCGGTCAGCGGATGTCGCGGTGGATGATCTGCCGGCAGTCACATTGATGTACACTAGCCCTCGGGCTTTGATCTCTGTTTCTCTCTGGCTCTCCGCACGAAACAAGGTCCTGCCTCGGTTGTGGCTCCCGAGTATCTCGGTCGGCTGATCCCATCGCGCCAAATGTCTGTGGAAAGGCTATTCCTGAGTGGTTTCACTGTTTCGCACCAGAACTCAAAGCTGGGGTCCATGTAAAACATGGGAACGCGGGGGAAGGTTTGGGAACGTGTGAAGGTTTGCGAACTGATACACTCCTCGCATGTTCCTATGCGATCCACATTTCAGCCGGGACTGAAATTTCTATCCTAAGACTTTGCTGTATTCGCAGCTACATCTCCTGCATTTCATCAAAAACCATTAACGTCACAGGCAAGCTGAACCCAAACAGTGCAACATTTTAGCGCCCGCACATGCCAAGCCCGGCAGCTAAGTGTATCGTGTGAGGCCGACAAGATTGCTGACATCTGCGCGCCCTGACCTGGCACATCCCGATAGCAGCTACCGTCAGTCAGCCTGCTGAATGAGCAGCCGAGATTCCGCACATTGTCCACCTGCTCCAAGCCCATGCACAAGCTGCACATGTCAGTCTGTGATTAACCTGTGAGTCTGCTGACACAGCCCACGTCCCAACCACAGAAAAGCAACCATCATCGTCACCGAGCGGAGAGGCCAACAGCAGCAGCAGCAGCAGCAGCAGCAGCAGCAGCAGCAGCACACGCACAGACAGCTTCAAAAAGACTTGCTTGACACAGCACGCCGTGTAGACTCTAGACAAAGTCTGAAACTAGGACGGGTTGTAATAAGGGTAGGCTTTCTATGCTAGGTTTAATCGCGCCAGCGGCACGAAGAAGGAATGCTCGACATTGGTTGCGATATTACTGTTTACACTGTTTACACGTCTTAGCATGACACGACAACCATGGCTACAACATTGCAAGCTGTGGTCGCGATGATTACTCTGCCGGCGGCATGGTGACAAGGACGGCGGTAAGCTTCAATGCTTGTTATGTCATGGCGCAAACATTCCCCTGCTAACCCAGGCAGAGACAGGTGACGGAAATCTTGCGTCAACCCAACAACGAGAACACATCGCTGAAGATACCAGTAGGGTCTGCTATCGTATAATTAGATAAAGCGGAAAAGGAATGGCATTACTGATTTCGCAGCCCCCTATATCACTTGCAACCGCAAGGGCACCTCAGAGAGGAGGAGCTGCCTCCGCAAGTAGGCCTCGACCAACAACGCTGGAGGGTATCGCTTGGAGTTCGGCTAGCTTAGAGCTGCCTTGGTCCGGCGACCTTTGTTTCAATGACCTGGCGGGAGCTGTGGGGACTATAGTCGTGCTCCTTTCGTGGAAGCTCGGTTTCATGAATTTCTCGACTTCGTGTACCTGGTCATGGCACGGGTAACAGTTGTCAACCATCTGCAACCCAGCTTCTGTTCTCCAAAGGTTGTCATCCACATCGCTTGTCAATCCGAAGTGTAACAAGCCCCGAATCCTTCCCTGAAGCCCACTGGCTGTGAAGTAGCAGTGGAGTAGCAGCAACAGAAGTAGCAGGAGTCAGTGGCTGCCGGTAACATTACAAACACTGCTGCCAGCGGCTGCATAAAAGTTAGAGAACCAATGAAACATGTAAGAGCTGACGAAAGGACGCTCTGTCTTGAATCCGAGACTGATCCAGTCGCAGTGCACCGCAGACCCCAGGTACACGGAAACTTTTCGACATGAAGGGGGCCTTGGAGGTCGTCGCTGAGTTTCGCATCTCCGCCTGAAGGCCAACTACTGCAGGGATTGATTGGTAAAGGCGGCTGTCTCAAGCTTCGATCTGGGTCTGCAGGTTCTCGCGAACAAGCGCTAGAGCTTGCAGTTGGCTGGAAACTCCGCAAGAGTCCTCAAGCATTAAATAAATTTTGTATACCCAGGAATGCTTCGGGCCCTTTCCATGTGGGCCGGGATTCTAGCGGACAAGCTTTGGAAGCCGACCCAGCACTTGGAAACCTCCACTCAACGCCCCGAACAACATTAAAAGTTTTACCCTCTTCTCCACGGAATCCCGAATTGCCCATCTAGGTTTCAGCAAACCGAACCTTCGAGTTACAACACTGTGCCCCAAGATTCTTTTGGGAGCTGCTTGCCAACAGGTGGCGGGTCGGTACTTCTCCTTGCAGGGATAGGGTTGCAAACACCAGCGAAACTACGTTCGTTGCCGGGAACATGTACATAGTTGTCCTAGAATAGCTGGACCTCTAAAGGCATAAACTGCATGTAGAGACAAAATTAACAAGTAAGCGGTGTGGTTTCCCCTGCATCTTGAGTTGGCTTTCTGCCGGGCCGGGCAATGGGCGATGGGACATGCCGTCTGCAGCGAGCTTCGACTTACTTCGTCCTCCAGGGACCCGGCAAAGCCTACATAAACCTAAAGCCATTTCCAAAGGCTTGTAATATAGTGTGCTCGTAGTGTTCAGAGGTTCGGCTCGGAGCCGTTCTGGGAGGAGGTGAGGCTTGAAAGTTGCATCAGCATGCATGAGCCGCGTGAACCCGCTCCATCTCCCCCAGAAGCCGCATGCCCTGGCCGCTGAAGAGCCCGGGCGCACGGACGAAGGTCTTGGAAAGCGCCTCCGATCCGTCGGGGATGCCCTTGTCTGGGTGTTTCGGGGCTCGCAAAACTTTATGATTGCGCTGTGAGGGCTTCGTTTAGTTAGTTAGTCTTGTTTAAGGGTGTGTTGCGGCCGGTGTAGCCTAATCAGCATTTGCTGCAAGAGGATCTGGAAGCTGAGGTGCTAGACCTGCACATGTACACATCAAGTCAGCTACGGCACAGGCCCATTATACTATGAATATCATAAGGAACCACCAAAATAGTAAGGGAAAATCTTAAGACCCCTACCTTAAGCGCAAATCGTTTCAAACTTGCTGCTCAGGGAGTCGAAGCCGTCGCGAACCACAAGAAGGACAACTTGCTGTGGTCAAATCCATCGCTTCTTGCAAAGTACGGGTCAATCCGAACATCCTCCGATGTTGTCCGCTTAAAAGGGCTTAGGGCTTAAGAAGGTATGACTCGTGAATACCATGCAACTGCATGTTTCAAACATTGCTGTACCAAGCCCAGGAGTTCGTCCCCGACATATTGTTGCTACTGGTACTTCATCGCAGTCGCCTCGAAAGATACTTTTGAAAAGGCCCGCAACCTCAAACCAAAGAACGAAAAACCCGGTTGAGTTCAGAATCACACAACCGGTGACTAGCTCCAGCTTCCGTTGCAATGGAAACCTGACATTCCCGACCCTGAACACCTGCGGGCCTTGTGTGAGGAGTAACAGGACCTGAGCAAGGATGAGCAGGGGCACTGGCGCCAGTCAAGCCTCTCAGTGTCCCATCCTCACTACCACTACAATTTCCTCATTGATCTTGCGCCTTATGGGAACGAAAACCGCCCATGGCAAATTTGTAAACTACATTCAACCCTCAACCCCAACACCCCTCGAACCTAAAACCCCGCTGAACCCACGTGAAAAGGCTGCAAGGAACACTGAAATGCCAGATGCGCGGCGGGATCAGGTGACCAGGCCCTCCCGTCTCCAGGGAGGGCATAGACCGCGATGACGACAGGGCTGCGCGGGGCTTCTTCAAGCATAATAGAACCAATGATAGCTGATACAAAATGGTCATAGTCAGCATCATACCGAACTGACGACTTTACATCTCAGACATAGGGATCATGTAGCACATGTCATGCACACAGCCGAACGAGATGGAACCAATCGGCATGTTGTGTCGGGGCTTGCTTCCTTATCTGGCACATGGGAAGCTTTGCCCTGCTCTTCTTTTTGATTGGTCGAATTCCAGAAGGGGAGGTCGGAAGTCTGGGCGCAAGATCTACTTCAACATGCAGGGTCGTTTCGTCGGAGTTCGAGATACACTCAGATGCTCAGGGCTGCAGTGCAAAGCTGGCTGTCCTTTCTCTTCATTCAAGAAGAACCATGACCACAGCAGCACATGAAACCCCAAAGCCCCCCGCTGCGACATCTCCCCGCCCTATAGGGCCCTTCTCGAAGCCCCTGCCAGCTGAACTACCATTATACAAAGACACGAAGCGGCCGCCCAAAGTAGAAACAAAAGCCCCCGATACCCTTGCTGCCTGGTGGATTCTTCATGGCTCGAACCGGCTGAGCTCGAGCCGCAAACGCCCGCTCCGGTTAGAATGTTGGTTTCGGGGGGCGGCGTTGTGCATTGGGAATTTAGATTATATATATATATATATATATATACAGTGTATTATATTATATTGTATTATAAGGCAAACATGAGGCAGGTTGGGGCTCTCGGCTTCCATCGGGATGAATCAACATAAGGATCGACGGTGCCAGAGTCAGCCTTGCTAGATCTGGGATGCTTGCCCGAAAATCCCAAAACCCATCTTCTAAACTACACGTCCGACATCGTCCGACCCTAAAACCCCAAAACCACCACACCGCCTGAACCGCTTTGTGCCAAAGACCTCAGCCCGCCGCTCACGCAAACGGTCCTTCACATCTGACATAGCCGCCTGGCGTACAGAAAGCTCTAGATCGGATACGACTTCAGAGTGCCGGGGACTTTTGGGCTTTTCAAGCGAAAACGAGGGCTGTGGAACTGTGGGTGGCACACATGGCTCCGGTATGGTTGGAGGCCGGATAGCATTCTTACCGCGATTCTACAACTCGTGTCCTATATCGTCCCCTCTCTACCTCCTTCTGAGCTCCCATAACCACCCCATGACAAGTAAAGGGACTCGACATCTCCTCGCCTCTTGGATGGCAGCCACCTTGGGAGGCACACTTGGAATGTCCATTTCAGACAGCACACATTCACATGTATTGAAGGAAGGCGCACGAACAGGACTACTATGATCAATTTCATGGGATTCCCCGTTGAGTATGACCAGTACAACAGTGTATGCAGGTTGCATACAAGCAGAAAAACCGTAGAATGCCAGAATCCCCGTGCTACCCCTCGACGTGTTCCGCAGTAGACAACCCCTGCAGCACTGGTCAACGCAGCGTGCAAGGCTTTCAGCTTGAAAGGTCGGGCGGGCAGATTCTGGACCCAAACCCAAGAGCCCAAAGTCAGTCTTCTAAACTTCAGGCTGGAAGAAATGCGGGTCTTTCATGTTCTCCAGCCTGATGTCGACTGCCTCGCAGCAACAATCCCAAGCCGACGATGTCAAAAAACAGAACCTGTGTAATTATGCATGTTTGTATGTGTTCGGAAAGTGCGTGTGTGTGTGTGTGTGTGCGCGCCTGGCTACACACATGCCTACGTAATACATGCTATACGTACCCACCTAGCTCTTCCTACCTACCTACATGAGTACACGCGGTTAAATGTTCGCACACGAGGTATGGGTATGTGAACCAACATGTTGAGTCTGAAGAATCCTGAACCCTCCACTCGGGTGGCCGGCATCGGCTCGGCTGACGAGCTGTTGGTCTGTAACCAAGGATTGGAGTCGCCTGCTCGTTGCTTCCGGCGCTTCGGGCTTACGCCTTTTGCAAGAGCTGTAAAGGATGGGTGGGAACCCTTCATAGTAAACCGAGCATTACAACAGTCCATTGCTTGCTACACTTCTTAATAAGCCCATGGCTTGCAACAAAAACGTGTTTCGCTGTCTGGACAGATTGCGCTTCTTGGATCCTACGGCTGACATGTTCTGTTTCTTCGTCCTGCCTGTCACTATTCATGCAGAGGGTTTCTGTTTGCCAAGACATGTCGAAGGAAATCTTGCCCTTGCAGCTGTCACTGTAATTGTTTTGGCCCTGAGAATAAACTCATGAATCTTGCATGCTGAACTTCCAAATCAGTTGATGTCACAGCCAGGGCACCATCGAGATGTGGCAGACCCCCCCCCTTCCTCCGAACCCAGCTTTTTGACGGGAGCTTTGTGAATTTCATGCCGTATAGTCCGACAACCAATGAAACCCACTCCCGAGACGGGCCTGTTGACCTGTCTCTGAACAGCTGCATCGACGTCAGCCAATGATGCCTCCGCAGAGCCCGTCTTCTGCCGATTCCAGTGCTTAGGTTCCGACAACGCAACCGGCTTTGCTTCTGCTCCGCTTTGTACGACATGTGAGACAGGCCCAACTCAAAAACAAGTTGTACCCCGAGCCACATTCATGAGGTCCAAATGCAAAGTGCGTCAGGGCCCGCCGGTCATATTGTTCAGCATCTGTTTCGACTTTGTTGCTGCCGCTTCACCTAGGGTAACTGGGGTGTCCGCGGATGTCGGGCTTGTGGGAAAAGAGCCCAGGAACGGGAGAAAAGATCGAAGTACCCCCCATATGCTACGGCTCCCAGAGGGTTCGTAATGAACCCGTTGCACACCATGTAATCAGGCTGCAAAGTCAGTCCTCCAAGAAAACTGTTCACAAGAAGTCATGACATCTGCTCTTCCTTCTGTAACCACACCTTAAGGTTCAGCGGAGTGCTTTGTCAGGCCCCTGATCCACATACCGGACATGCCCTTTGTCGATGCCGCGCCGGTGACAACTATGACCGCCTAAATTCGGTAGCTTTTGGGCCCGATGACATTAATCAAATGAGTAATGACTTCGGCAGTGCCCTGTAGCTGAGAAATCTCTACAAAAGCAAACCTTCCCCTCCGCAACGGCCGCCAAAGAGGCAAAGTCTGCCACTGAAACCTGGCGAGTTGCGGTTGATCAAGGTGCTCGACAAGATTTGTGGGCCTGACTGTGTGAACGAAACCGTGATCACCACGTTGCCATGTCATGTTGGACAGGCTGCTATCTGCCGAAATCAGTCTTGCACAAGTCATTAAGTCATTAAGGTAAGCCGCTGCTGTTTGTTGACTCATGCTTGGAGGAAAAGTCATGAAGGTAAGCCCGGCAGCCCAAAATCCTCTGACTTTGGAAGTGTAGCACCATCAACAGCCCTTTCGAATAAACTTGGAAACCCGAAACCGAAGCCCTAAACCTCTCACCGCCCTGGGACGCTGCACTTGGACCCGCGACACACTGAACTCGACCCCTTTGGACCTTGGACTCGCAAAGCTTGTGCAACCGAGCGAGGTGGCCCTCCTCCTTTGTCCAGGCCTGCAGGGTTGAAGGTACAGGATATGGTCTTTACACGACGACTGCTTTCCTGGATGTGACATGTTTGGTTCTGATACGGGATGATCTACTGACAGACATCCGGATGGGAAGAACATCAGAAATAGCACGGCCCGCACTATCTCGCAGACTGCCTGTAAAAACTGGCGTCACTTAGACCTGAGTAGCAATGTCTCAAGACTTCTGTGGTCTCAGCTCGGGCCGATGCTCGGTCTTGTGCTCCAGACTCCAAAGAAGCATAGGCCAATACAGTATCATTCAAGCTGTGCACGAGTCGCCGGTCGCCTCCCGAACGATCTCCTGCGTCCAGAAAGGATAGAGTTCCAGCATCACAGATTCAGTAGCACAGGTACGAGAGAAACCATCTGGTCAGCAATAGTCACGAACATGACCAAGACATCATCATCATGATGATGATCATCATCATCACAGCTGCCCTCTGCTATCCCCATCTGCTACTGATGCCGCTGATTTCTGCAGTGGCCATGTCCACCTCCACGACACTGATGCCAAAAGTAACGACAGCTGTGTGCAGCACCAGTGGCTGGAAACTCTTGGGCGTAAGTAAAGGCCTCTAGCGGAATTCGACCGAAGAACTCCCACCCCCCAGGCTCCTTGAGTTGCGTGGGATTGGCCTTCTCCTGGCTGCGATCTCTGACGGATTCCCTCTTCGCATAACCTCTACCAAAGCTAATTCTCGAAGACTGCGACGGCAGCGGTTAAATGAAGAAAAACCTAAATATATAACCTAGTGTGTGTACATGTCTATCTATATATATATATATATATATATATATATATATATATATGATCCCGGTTCTCGGTTCACCGACCCCCCCCCCCAATGGTATCCCCCCCCCCCCCCCACGCTCCCCAAGCCGAATCTGTGTGTCCACACGAGGGCTCACACGCCAAGCAGACCCACGCAGGAAACCCAAACCGCAGGGAGGGGGAAGCAACCCACAACCACACCACACCACAGCAGACCCACGCAGGAAACCCAAACCACACCACACCACAGGAGCCTAAGCAGACCCACTCCCGAACCACACCACACCACACCACACCACAGGGAGGGTGAAGCAACCCACAACCACACCACACCACAGCAGACCCACGCAGGAAACCCAGACCACACCACACCACAGGGGGGAGTGGGGTAACCAGCCTAAGCAGACCCACTCCCGAACCACACCACACCACAGGGAGGGGGAAGCAACCCACAACCATACCACACCACAGGAGGGGGAGGAACCATTGGGGGGGGGGAGGGGGGGGCCGGCCGAACCGGGATCATATATATATATATATATATATATATGTATATATATATATATATATGTATATATATATATATATATATATATGTGTGTGTGTATTTTCTTTCTATAATATGTACATGTCTATACATATGTGTGTATACACATACTTCAGACAAGTTTCTGGCAGGGGTTGGGGGTGTTCAGCGGGGGAAAGGCAGGCGACTCTTTCTTCAAAAATGTATCAAGTGTGCAAACCAGTTTGACCTTCAAGCGGTGTCGTATTGTAAAGGACAATGAACCCTGTTTGTTACACCTGAACCCAAGCCCACCACGTTCAGGACAGCACCGAGTTCAAAGACCAAAATCTACTGCAGCGGCAGAGCGACTTTTCAGCTAACCTTTGGCTGCACGCAGTGTTTGAATGGCATCATGGATGCTCACCTTCAGGTTTGCATCAGGTTTCTGCTGCTTGACCCCCGTTCAGGCAATCGTTTCCTCCATGTGAGAGTTACCACTGTGCTACCAGAAACAACTTCTGCCAATCCACAGCCGCATTTACCATGTGAGCCATTGACGCCAGATTGATTCTCTCGCCACATGTGTACTTCGGGCCCAAAAATGTCCCCCGGACGGAGGAACAGCAGCAGTGTTCCTTCTGAAAGCGCATTTTGCTCTTCATCGCTTGCCGTGGCTTTGGACACAGTGAAACCTTCGAGGCGGGCCCGACATGCCTGAAGCGGCCGTAGAGTCAGGGGCCTAAAGCCGAACATGAGGACAGCTTCTTGGGGTTTTCGCGACTTGGAGTCTGAGGATGCAGATGAAGCCTACCAGGGTCAGGGACTTCAAAGGCTTCTTTGGAACTGCTCTTGCTCTTCGAGTTACAGTATCTGAAGAAGACTCTGATCATAATGACATCCACATCAAAAGACGAAGAAAACACAACCTACTTTAGTATGATAAATGGGTTTGGGCAACAATTGCGGGAGCCGCGTCCCAGAAGCTGGTTCGTGACAAGTTCGTGCTGACTGCCCATGCTTCGGCTTCGAGGATGCTGTTGAAACTTAAGGTCTGGAACAGGACGTGGCTTAATGTTGAGATGTCTTAATAGTCTGGATGATGTTAGGCAGGTGCTCTCAAGACCTACAGTTACCGGCAGGATGCCCCCGAAGATGCAGCCTCAGATCTCGACGACCTGTCCAAATGGAGACTGATATGTGGGAAGCACTGGTCGTCTCGCTTGCATGGGCTCAAAATTCTCGGTTTTCATGCAACCTCCGGGAACCAGTTTCTACTGTCCTTGACAGAAGCTTATGCTTGAAGCTCCGTCACCACACATCGCATGGATGATGAAAACGGGCGGAAGAAACAGCAGGACGAAAGAAGAGAGGTCGAGCAGGGAACTGTTACATAAGACAACACTTTGACACGCCGTAAATTACCATGACATGCGAGACGCATGGTCTAGAATCCTTAGCGGACCCAGCTTCTCGACAACAATGTTGGAGAAGGTTCAGGTGCAAATGAACGACAAATCAAAGGATAGGCTTGCTGTGTAGCTTCCAGAAAGCCTATATATCGATGCCAGGCATGGAAACGGCGATGACGGCTGTACTTCAAGGTGGGATCAAGGCCTTTGTCTCAGCCCGGGTTGCTTGAAGTTTCTGATAAAAGGTGGGGAAGCCTGAAGGCTAAGCACTGTCTAGCTACCAATGTCAGGAATGTCAAAGCCGCGGCCCCAGGCGACGAACAACTGCACCTGAACGTGCAACAAGTAAATACTGAAGACTCAAACGTCCGAAACCTCAAAAACGTAAGTGCTGCTATGTGCATAGATTTATGTTCCAAATCTGGCGAGAACTCCATCTGAGTGAGGCCTCGGTCGGCCCATCTCCACATCTAGACGGTAAAGGTGAGTACCATGTCATCCTCTTGGCCTCGGAAGCATAAAGCAAGGGCCTGATCCATGTGAATGGGGAGCTTCTCAATCCGCTTATGTAAGTTATGGTTTCGGGTCCAGCCACGCATCAGAAGCTAAAAGCACGGAAGAGCATGATGAGTCGGATGAGGCTATTCCGACGTGCGGTGGAGCTTCGAGTGTTGAGCGAAGTTCCCTGCAGGCTCACCCCGAACCACCCGAAGGTTGCATATGCCACGAAAAGGCGTTGCTGGTGGGAGCCAGAAAGAAAGGCAGAGTTCGCGGTGGCCACAAAGGCAGAAGCAACAGCATTCGGAGCGAAACCCAGCCTTCGTGAGCGCTCCTGTTGAGATTCCTATTCTGAGCAGATTGAACCGTTGTACTCTGGATTCAGACATAACTCCAAGAAGATCAGACCAGGGGAACTGAAAGGCATGGTTTCGTCTGCATTTCTGTGCTAACTTTTTGCAGCAAGTCGCCAGGCTTCGGCACCAGCATCACCGCGAGACGCCTGCCCCGACGACCGAAACACACGGCAATTCACACGATGCGCAGTGGCCGTCGCTTGCCGTCGCGGCTAGGCATCCTTTAGGTTACCGTGCCTCAGAGCTTCTTGGCTTTTCATCAGCCGCTTTGGCCGTGCCGCCAGGCAGACGAGGATCGCATCGGCCATGAAAGTACCTCAGACAAAGGCCTCGATCTGGCTTGGGGTCTCGAGTGTCACTGAGGGGCTCGAGCTTCAGGGCCAGGGTTCGCTTTAGGCCACACATCTGCCTGAATCCTGGCACAGGCAGCAGTTGCAGCAACACATATCTCATGCTGGTCCTTCCTCCTCTTACCCAGCCGAACATTGCTATACTCGAATTAACGTCGGGCGAGATGCCGTACTTGACCACAGCAGCAAGCTCTGGCCTTTGCAGGGAGAGCAAGGGACCCATGACATCGGTCCATCGGAGCGTCACTGGAATCTAGAGCCAGCGAAAAACGAGGCTCTGCTGACGGTAGTCATACGTCGCAACTTTTGTTAACGTAATGCTTTCAATCCGCAAACAACTGTTACATAGGATGCTGGCCACGGCGGTTGGAGCTGGGTGCCAAGTTTAGCGATTGGAGTGTTCAGCCTTTCAGCTACTGCTACCAAGCAATTACGTCGGATCACTCGGTAAGTCTTTGCATGTAAGATTTGTGCCATCGGGCGTTAGGGAAGGACATACACACTTACACTCACTCATAGAAGGACAGTTCAAATCCTTCACGACCTCGACTTGCAAATCCCGCACGAATCTACATAATAATTATACAGGAGCGACCCACTGGCATCTGGAAAAAGCGTTCTTTAATGTTCAAACAGGACTTGCAGGGGAAAAGACTCACCGTTCCGCCTGAAGCCCGAGTAGGCAAATACCCTGCCCCGTGCCCAACCCCAATCACTGCCTGTCTGCACCGAAGTCGTCGGTACTATCGATGCACCTTGCAGGACGAAATCAAAACCCTGTGACACATGCGGCTACATGCTGCCGCACATCCCGTCGCCGGCGAAAGGCATGGATCTTGCTTTGTGGCAGTAGAGCTCAATACGGAGCAAATTCGAATTTGACAGAGACGCCTGGAAGACATAACACCACATCGGAGCCACATCAACGAAACCACACACGTTCTCCTACAGGACAGACTGTCTCGAGCCGTCCAAACGGCCAGCAAATAGCACTAATCTCTGATACGCTCGACCAGCACCGAGCGCTGGCGGCCAAGACACAGCTCATCGTGGAGAGAGGCGGCGTGAGCCTGCTCTGAGTGCGAAGGTATGATGGCAAGCCTGAGCCCCAAACTCAGAAGCCCAGGGCCCGTAGCTGCCCAGAAAAAGGAGATATGCTATTTCCAATCGCCACTTCTCGCTCAAGCTGCGATTAAGTTGTGGTTGGGGAGGTCGATGTCTGGGGAGAGGCTCTGTGTCGACACGAAAGCTCAAGATGGTTCGACACCATCACACCTCAGGGTTCTGAGGAGAGCGACCCACAAGCAAAGTCACACCCTTCAGCCAGACACTCCTTTGCGAAGTCTTGGATGACTTTCTTCCTCTTGCAACATGAGTGGGACATGTACTTCCAGGAACTCAATAGAATCGAACATTGAGAACCGTGGATAAGGTCACCTGAAAACACTGAAAACAACTGCACATGGCCGGTGAAAACGAACGTAGACCCCGAATCGCAAAAGCTGTGTCGGTGGCCTTGCAACCCGAGAGCAGGTTCACGAAGGCATGTTGCGCCCGATTGGGATCGCGGGCCTTCTTGATCACATAGCTTTTCCTCTGGTGATCGAGACATGGTCAGCTTCAAAGCTTCTTATCAGAAGCTCTTTTGAAATGCCAGCTAGAGTGCCTCGCCCCCAAGGTCTCTGTGCAACCCCGGTTCCCGCTTTCCCTCTACATGCCGGCGCACACACACACACACACACACACACA